ATATATATATATATATATATATATATATATATATAAACATTATGGATACATAATATGACATCTAAATATAGAGGAAATCAATACAGATTAATATACAGTATGCAGAATAATATGAACATAACTTAGAAATATCTTGAATGAAATTCACGATACATACATACATACATACATACATACATATATATATATATATATATATATATATATATATATATATATATATATATATATATATATATATATATATGCAAAGACACGCACACAGCACACTCTCTGTCACATCTCCCTTTCTTTCTCTCTCTTTCTCTCACACACAATAATATATAGGTTCTAGAAATGCATCCCGCTTCATTATGCTCACAATCTAGTGTAGGGCAGTATTCCCGCACCTGCCAGGCCGCAAGCCGCATTCCCGCTGGCCAGTCAGCCAACTGAGGCACAAGGTCAGAACGTCCGACTTTTGCTAAAAAAGATGACAGTACATATATATACATACATATATATATATATATATATATATATATATATATATATATATACATATACATATATATATATATATATATATATATATATATATAATATATATATATATATATATATAAACATATATTATATACTTACATATATATATATAATGTATATATTATATGTATATATTATATATATATTATTATATATATACATATATATATATACATATATATACATATACATATATATATATATATATATATATATTATATATATATAATATATACATATATAGTATACATATATATACATATATATATATTATACATATATATATATAATATATATATACATATATATATAATATATATATATATATATATATTGACACAAACACACTTTTCCTTAATGTTACCTTCTCTCTCATACACACATACATACGTACATATATGTATGTACTTGTTGAATATGTACTATATATATATATATATATATATATATATATATATATATATGTGGCGGATGCCACAATCCGTAATTGTCTCAGTCTTCACTGACACAGCCTCGTTCTGCATACTTCCCTAACCTCTCTCGGGTTAACGGTGCACCTCGCTGTGCATAATTGCCCTACACCGAGTAGCCGGCAGGCAAGCATGCCGAGATCCGCAATGCTGATTCGCCGCGATGCGAGAGATAAGATGCAGCTATCGGCCAATCAGCACACTCAGCCGCAGACGACCCAGCAATGTTGAATGCTGTTGAATGGACTAAAGGGGGGAGAAAGTAAGGTTACTTTGCCCTTTTTGTATTTATACTACATTTCTTACCAAATATACATAGGCGGCAGCCGTCAGAATAACGCCTCCTGGTAGATCTCCTGTATCGGAAGCAGTCGTTGTATCAGCCGAGTTGGCTCAATGGTGCTTGGTGTAAACACAGAGTTAGCTCCTACAAGAGCTGGCTATCCACGCTGTCAGCAAAGGAGCAAGACGCGACGACGCGAGGAATTGGCCATCCACGCTGTCAGCAGGAGCGAGATGCGAGCCAATGAAGAATTGGCCATCCACGCCATCAACGAAAGCACTTCGGAGGAGTCACGCAGGAGGACACATATGTCGTCGTCAAATTCTCTAAAGTCACCATTAAACACAGCTAGTAAGCTGTGGCTATTAAAGAGGTAGAATATTTCTTTTCCCTCATACAAAGGTTTTTGGTCACTTCCACTTAGCGTCCCCTCCCGAGCCAAGGTGAACCCCGCGGGCAGTGCCAAAAGGGGGGCTGGTAGCTGGCTGCCTTCAACTCAGGAGAAGGGTATTGATGCTAGGGTAGGTTAGGGGAAGTGGTCATCCTTAACTTGCTGATCTTTCACCATCATGGCCAAGCCGAGGAAAAAAACGCCACCTCAAACCAAAGAAGACTTTTACCTTTTCACCACAGGAAAAAAAACACTGCCGGTCCATCCAGCGAGTCGAACCCCCCACAAATGAGGACAAAATGGAAACTTCCAGCAGTACACCAGACACAAACGTACTCCAACAATTGCCTACCCTCTCTGACGTGCAGTCTTCAAGCTTTGTTGTCTCCCCAAATGAAGACTAAACGACATCTATGAGGCCTTGTTAGTGCTGGAGAAAGATTTCCCTTCACTCTTAGTTTCAACAAGGATAACAACAAAAAAGGATTACATCCTCCAGCCAAAGGATCCAAACCCTACAAATCCTCCGAAATACCAAGGTCCTTAGCAACAACAAGTCGATAAACATTGCACCATACACCCCACCTCCAAAAAAGTCGATCATGGTTCTGGAAGGATACCCACTCGGATTCCCACTAGACTGACAATGCAACCATCCACTAGTCGAGTCTGCGTCTCACTTAATCTCCTGACCCTCAAAGAAAGAGACGAGACAAGTGCAGGTTACACTTCTAGGAAAGCCCGTTAAAGAACTTAACCTAGGCATTCGGCACCTTCACTCTTAGAAAAACACTACCCTGAGTCCACACACTGTAGTAAATGCTAACGGTTTGGCCACCATGACGCCAAGTGCAGGAGTCAAGCACGCTGTGGCATTTGCTCTGAACCAAACCTTACTGACATTTGTATTACCAAATATAAAGAAGGCAAAACCACAACAGCCAAGTGCCCTAACTGTGGCGATGGGCACCATGCCTGGAACACCGCATGTCCGGAGAGACTCCGACATCTGGCATATTCCTCTGGAGAACCCATACCAGTTGAACAAAGAACACCACGAGTCTTCACACAGAAGCTCCACACCTGGAACATACCAGCAAACCCTGATACAATCTCTTCCCCCAAGAACAACATTGCTACTGGCACTCGGCCTTTCATCCCCTTCAGACTAGAGCATTCCAGGGTCATACCTCAACATCATAGCAAGTGCTCCAACTGCGGAAACCCCAACGACTCTACACAGGATGTGGATTTCTTGGCAACGTTGTTGCATATAGGACTCTCCCTGGTTGGTAGACAAGCTGACCAGAATCGTATAAGAGATGTTGTCACCAAATTCCTTGACAATGAAACCAACAACACAGCTGTTGCCCCATTAAAACAGAATGACGGCAATCATACTGCTCAAGTAGAGACAAAAATAAGTTCCTTTACTACGCTAGAAACTCCTCTCCATAACCCTCAACAGTCTGTCAGCTCTGATACTCAGGATCTCCCAGACACAACCCCATCGCATTCCACCACCACTCCTGCATCTGAAACATCTCATGGCCTCTCACAAAGAAAACGTTTCCGACGGTCTTCACCAACTAGTGAAATTCATGATGGTACCGAACATTCACTTCAAGACACTCTGCATCTCCAAGACGATACCCCTACCTCTCAGCAACAGACACCAATGGACGACGCCTTCCATCTACACTTTCCACCTCTCGGCACAGTATATCCTTCCACCTCCAATCATGGGTCCCCTCCCGTAAAACACATTCCAGACGAAAATCAAGTTATAACAAACGAATACCAACATCATCTTGACTCTGACAACACTTCAGATACCACCGATGACTAATGATACAAGCACTGAAAAGATCTCCATCCTCCAGTGGAATATATATGGCTTAAAACCCAAATTACCCACCCTCTCCTTAGCCCTGGCTGAAGAGAGATATGGAATTGTCTTGCTTCAGGAGACTCTCCTTAAGTCTGACATATCGCTATCCAATTATACCGCTTACCACCAATATCAAAGTCAAGGAAATAGAGGGCTCAGTATTCTTGCATGGAAGGAATTGCATGTTGAACGCTTGCCTATCCGAAGGTTTTGTGGTACTGAAGTTGATGCCATGGGTGTGACTGTCTCACTTAAAAACACAACTCTGCAGATCTACAACATATACCGGCCACCCAGAGCCACTGCCACCCTTAAGTTAGATCACATATTTGCAGCAGTCAGCAAGTCCCCTTCCATTCTTTGTGGGGACTTCAATGCTCATAGTCCTACGTGGAACTGTCCATCCTCTCCATCAGCTTTATCTAAAAAAGATGCTCCAAGATCTTCCACACTCATCTCTCCTAAACAGACATATACCCACACATCTCAGAGGGGGAGTCCTAGACCTCTCCTTTGTATCCACCGACCTCCTCCCAACAGCCAGCTGGGCTCTTTACCCTTATCTAACCTCTGATCACTATGCCTCCACAATCACTCTGAATATACCACTCATACAGAAACCTCCAACTGTTCCCCATTGGCATTTCAAGAAACCTGACTGGCATAAGTTCACCTTTATCTTGGAGGAATGGGCCGAAAGTTACACTCTGTCACAAGACCTAGACACAAAGGAGGAGATCGTTTTCGCCCTTCAACATGCAGCAAATCAAGCGATCCCAACATACAAACCCACCTCACATATTCATAGTAATAAATGGTACTACTCAGAGAGTCAGAGAGCTCCGACACCGACTTATCCTCCGAAAGACACTGGAAGAGCATCCTTCTCCCACCATACTAGAAAACTTTCGAGTTGCACAGGAACTTATCCAGAAAGAAATCCAGATGATTAGCTCAGACTCCTGGCTAAAATGGTGTGAGTCACTGAATGTCCACACCTCTCTTCATGACTAAATTTAGTTTCTGGAAAGTTCCGGAGACAGCCTTGCCACCCTCGACCATTACAAGTAGCAGAAGAACTAATACACACCTTTCAATTCCGCAGCACTTCTCAGCCCCCTCCTTCCACATTTAATAGGATCCAAAGGTTAAAGCCAGAAAGAGAAACCTCCATTCAAGTAGCTATCTTCACTCCTGCAGAATCTGATGTCCCATTTACCCAGCACGAAATCAGTCAAGCACTTAAGACCAGTAAAGATACTGCACCAGGAATGGACAGTCACCTATTCTATGCTGAATCACCTTGGTACCCATGCACTTAGCCATGTTCGGTCCCTTTTTAATGACTCCCAAGGAGCTGGAAAGAAGCAATAATTCATCCTGTTCCAAAGCCTCCCACACCAAATGCTTATCTCCTTACTCTCATGCCTCGGCAAAACCATGGAGCGTGCAGTTCTGACAAGATTACGGCATTTAATACCCCATCCAGACAGACACATATACGCCTATTACAAAGGTTTGGGTACAAAAGACAATTTAGCTGCCATCCACAGTACCCTAGATTGAAACAATGCTATCATTGTTTTCCTCGACCTAGAGAAAGCCTTTGAGCTTGCTCGGAGAGATGTCATAAGTATACTAGCATCCAAGGGTATCACTGAAAAAATCTTAGATTGGTCAAATGACTACCTCCTCCAGAGAAAGGCCAAAGTCCGCTTTCAGGGAAATTTCTCCGACTTTCAAGTCTTTGAGAATGGTACCCCACAAGGGGGGATTCTTAGCCCCTTCCTATTCAACCAATTGATCGCTGAAGTTCTCTCACTCCGACTACCACCGAACACGCATCTCTTTGCATATGCTGACGATCTTCAACTAATATCCACCGGCACAACCAGAATTGTCAGAGCCCAACAGGCCCTTGACCTCATCGTTGACAAATGTCATACTCTTGGCCTAAAACTAAACCCTGAAAAAAACAAGAGCTCTACAAGTCAGATGATACCTCCCACATCAGTCCTTATATATAAGGACAAAATTGAATGGGTCACCTCCCACAAGTGCTTGGGGATTGTCTTTAACAGACAAAATGATTCATCCTCTCAGTTAAGACATCTCCTTGGAAAGACTAAGACAAGAATCCATGTCCTACGAAGATTATCAAGCTCAAAGATGGGAGCTGGATTCCACATCCTCCGAACATTTTACATTTATGCCATCCGATCACTTGTAGATTACTGCTCCTCTCTCTCCATCCTCTCTCTCTGCTGAGTGGAAACCATACAAGATAAGTGCATGAGAATTATCCTTGGAGCACCTCAATGGACACGGTTAGTAAACATGAGACTTGAAACAAAACTAATACCACTCCAAATAAGGACCCAACAGATTGTTGCGGGACATGTCAGCAAGTTGATATCACGCCATCATCCTCCCCTGCTGAGAGATCGTTTCATAAACCTTACACAACCAGGAGGCCCTCTCCCTAAGATCTCTGCATGGCATAAGGACTTGTTTAGGTGTTTGGACGCCTTCAACTTGCTACCTAGTATAACATCACGTGGCATAGACCATCCTCATCGTGGATACCATGCTCCTCCCCCTTGGGAACCTCAACATGTCACACTTACAACCAAGAGTCTTCCACTGTTTAGAGCCAGATGTTCTCAGAATGACTTTCGACACCTTCAAGCCTCCATACACTCCATTGAAAATAATGAAGATATAGCCACTTTCTATACAGACGCCTCAGTTGAACAATCATCAGGCAGAGCTGGAGCAGCATTCATGCACGACGGGCGTCTACATGGACAAAGAATTAGCAATGACGCCACCATCCTTCAGGCTGAGCTTTTTGCCATAAGAGCAGCTCTTCATTGTGCACTCAGATGCGCCAAAAACACTCTACATCCTCACTGATTCACTTTCAGCGCTGCACACTCTACAAAAACAATACATCAAGATTACATCCAGCTCATTACATCAACACTCTTCAAGCTCCCACAACTTTCAGAACAAGGGAAGTCAGTTACACTAATGTGGATTCCTAGCCATGTTGGAATTCAACATAACGAACTTGTTGATACTGCAGCCAAAAACAGCCTCCGCCAGCAGAGCATCACCCATGTCAAACCAAGTCTCAGCACCATAAAGTCTTTAGCCAGGTCTGCTGCTTATTACATGACACGTATACAGCATCAGGTCTGGGTGCAAGGAGGATCGCCTTCAGCGTCTTGGTACAAGACCTCTACTGAGTATGAGTCCATAACAATTCCTAGGTCCATGTTGCGCAAAGATGCTGTAATAATCCACCGGCAACATCTCGGCTATCGCTGTAGCTGGGAGATAGATAAGCGCAATCTGAAACAATGCAACCACTGTAAGTCTATTACCGACAAGCCGTTAATACACTATCTGTTGGAATGTTATGCCCTTACAGCGATAAGACCCCCTGACTTTGCAAATATACAGAATATACCCCCGGAACCACTTGAGACTGCTGATGCGAATTGTGCTTGGCTCATATTAGAGAATTAAATATATCTTCAGTCACTTTCTGCAACTCCTCCTCCACGTTAGTCCCACATCTATCAAAATTACTTACTCCCTCTCTGTAAAGTCAACCACTACAAGTACAACACATAATGATACACTAATAAAAAGCTCATAGCAAGTGCAACACTAACAGGGTGGTGACAGCAAACCCAGACTACCTCCTAAACAAATGGGGTAGTGAAGAAAAAAAAAAAAAAAAAAAAAAAAAAAAAAAAAAAAGGCACTTTCTCCCGGCGAGCTGCCACCTACTTCTGGGAATCTAATTTTGCGGACTCTTCTTGATGGCTTCAGCTCTCTCGAACCCATGCCTACGAAAGGATTGCTGATGGATGTCTGCGGTCGTCGGGAGATGGGTCACACCGAAGAGTCGCCGCCGCCGAACCTGGACGGCGAGACAGGGCGATGTGCTTCGTCGGGTGTGGGCTTTTTGCGGCGCGCCCCACCTAATGGGGGCTGGGCCGATCACTTACTGTAGGGCACGAGGCGCCTACGAAAGGCGTCAGGGCGGAGTTTGAAGGCCTCTGCCACGGGCCCTGCAGCCCACTTCAGCTGTTACTGCCTCGGTTGGCCTCTGTGAAGAATGCCGGAGCGGGCCTTCGGAAGGGAGACGAGAGGGGCTATCTGCGAGGGACTTCGCGCCTGCTGGTTCTGCCTTCGACCATCGGTGATGGACGGCTCCAGTTACGCGGTTGCGGGTGCAGCTGTCCTCTTTTGGGGAGTGGTGACTCCCACTTAAGCTTCGTCACCCCAATGAATAAGGTTCATTCCTCCTATTAACGAATGCACTGAAATAAAGTGCCCCACAAAGCGGTGGCTAAAGCGAAACCCGTTCTGCTCCCTAGTGAGCGGTAAATTCACTCACTCACTCACTCACACACACACACACACACACACACACACACACACACACACACACACACACACACACACACACACACACACACACACACACACACACACACACACAACAAAAAAAAAAAAAAAAAAAAGAAGAACCTATAGGTCGACTCGCCACCTATGTCAACCATGGCCAAATTATTATCGTGGGACCAGATTTCCCAACATTAATAAGGCATAACTCGACGACAACCCCAGACCTCGTTATTACGAACAGATACGGGACCTTTAACACACACCTCTCACAAGGCCAAATAACCACGAGTGACCACCTGCCAGTACAAGTTATCATATCCACATCACCAATAATGATACCCAAACAGCCAACCAAAGACTACAAAAAAGCAGACTGGGAAAGATACAAGAACAACTGAGCAACACAAGGACGATTCAGCTGCATGATAAACCATACACCGAGATCGGGGAAAAAGAAAAACTTGCAGCAAAAGAAGACTGTATTCCAAACAAACTCTTCACCACAATTCCCCATCACAAATCAAATCACCTTAACGTCTTAAAAACCCTCTATCAAGAACTCATAAGACGAAGTGAAACATCAGGATGGAATGAAGAGTTCTCTGCAAATCCAGCTCAAAGAAACCTCTAAAAACCTAAATCATGAAAACTGGGGAAACTTCCTAAAAGAAGTAATCGTGTATTCAGCAGGGAAAGACCCCAACACATTCTGGAATAAAATAAAGAGATTAAAAGGAAATGACACACCAACTAGCCCATGCTTTTTTAATCCCCAGAATGAGAAGATTTACGAAGACGCCGAGAAAGAGAAATTATATAACACGTTCTGGTCCAAGGCCTTCAAAATATCCGACGAAGAGAACCTTGACTTCGACGATCAGTTCGAAAATGTAATTCGCAGAGATCTTGAAAGATTTCCGAGAAAACTCGTCCCTTACCAAACCATAAACCTCGGATGCTAAATGACGACAACCCTCTAACAGGAAAAAATAACACCAGCAGAAGTGAAACAGGTGATTTAAAAAATGAAAGACAAGGCGCCAGGTAAATCCAAGATCAGGAAAACCGACTTGGCTAACTTACCAGACAACATGGTGAAAAAACTCAGCAACATTTTAAATGCATGCCTGGCCAGTGGATATTTTCCAAAATCTTTCAAGGAAGCCATGATTACACTAATCCCTAAACCAGGAAAACCGCCTAACAGAGTCGAGAACTTCAGGCCGATATCATTTTGTAAATATCCGGAAAAGTTCTCGAAAGAATCGTCAACATCAGGCTAATGACTTTTCTATAAAAAAAAGAAAGAAAGAAAAAAAAAACATCCTAAACACAAACCAATATGGCTTCCGCAGAGGGAAGGGTACCGCAACAGTGATTGCAATCGCTTATGAACAAATCGCACAGGCCCTTGCACACAAACCCACCAGTGCAATGTCATCATGAGAGACGTATCTGATCTCAAACATAAGATCACTGATTTGCAGATGCCAGAACCTATCACCAAACTTATGCAACTTCCTCGACGGAAGGAGAGTATATATATATATTAAGATAGGCACCCATGTAGGCAACCCCATCAACCTCAAAAGCGGGTACCACATGGAAGTGTAATCTCGCCAACCCTGTATATTTTATACACCTCCTGCTCACCACCTCCCACACATCATAACTACATCGCCTATGCTGATGACGTCACTCAACTAGTGACACACCCACCAAATCCAAAATAATCATGACCTTGCAAACTCACAGAGCCATCCATTAATTAAAAAAAAAAAAACAAAAAAAAAAAAAAAACAATGGAAAATAAGGACCAACACCACCATTTCAAATGATTTCAGCTGGCAAATTAAAATCCCTCCCCATAACCATCAACAAATGAAAGAGAATTCAGTCAGAGAGGCAAGATGCTTGGTCTATTAATTACAAACAGAGGAATAGTTCCCCCACTTAAGAGAACGTGTCAGCATGGCAAACCTACAACTTAAAAAGTGCAAACGCTTCTCTGGATGCAATGAGAAAATAAAACTGCAACATATAAGTCACTCATCAGACCAATAATAGAATATCCTCCTGTGCTCTGATCACAGCTTCAAAACACACAAATGATCAAAATACAAAGCATTCAAAATAAAGCACTCATCTGGGCATCTAGAGCGAGATACCCAGACATTCCATTGCAGAGGGGATTACATGAGAGATATAGTATGCTCCCAATATTCCTCTGTACATTAACTAGCCTGAAAACATGGGAGAAACTAAAATATCTCGAAGATGATAACTACATAAAAATAAACACTCACCTTGCAAACGAGAACACTCGTGGTTCCCACGCGCAGCCTCCCTGCAACACTGACAGAGCCACGTCCTCTGTATAGCCGACGATCGTTGCCACGGCGAGATCGCCACGCAATGCAGGACGAAATAAAAATAAATGTAAATAAAAATGTATATACTAGAATATATACATGCATGTATACTGACGAGAGGGTTCTCTAACCCATTTATATCGTCCGAAGGGGTTCGGGACGATATACGTGGGGAGAAAACTCTCATACGCTAACGGATCCTGCACCAGAGCACAGGCGTATCAATCAGTATACAAGTATGTATATGTAAATAACTAAAAACATAAAAAGAAAAAAATATATATAATAAACATGTAAACAAAAAACAAATAAAACTAGAAACTACCCCCAGTAATCGTCCCAAAGTCTGTTTACAACTCACGCACTGAGTCACGCGCGAGATGTAAACAGAATGGGGGCGGAGGTGTAGTCACCTTTCCGACCAGTCGGGACACCGATCCCGCGTTCCCGTCTCGCCAGAGTCGGCAACACGGAAAGGCTGTACAGAGGGTCGCCAAGGACAGACTATTTTACAAACTGGCCTCCGGGGGGGGGGGGGGTTCTGCTCGTGCGGATGTTTGAAGGCCCCAGTCAAGCACACACACGAGCGGAACTCGTTCAACGGGTACAGATGGAAATAGTCGACGGAAAAAAAACTATTACCAGTAATAATAAAACGGTTAAGGGATCGTACTTACAATGGATACAATCTAACTATTAACAAACAGTGATACTAACACTACTAACAATGAATGATGTTGACTTTTTATGCTAAATCATTCTTTATGTAGAATACATACAACAAATAAATATTTATAACACGGGAAGTCCACTTCACCAGCAGGGCACTCTTTGGCACGATCCATAAACAACGTAATTAAACAGGCAAAAGGGATAGCCCCTATCTTATACACTCGTCCTAATTTCCATTTCCTTAGCTAGCTTCTTCCTTAGCTTTCTCTTTTCTTCTTTCCTGCTTACTTACTTCCTAAATAGACAGACTTCACAGTTGCCTAAACATCACGAAAAGAAATCTTTAAAATATTTACACTAAAATTTATTATAAAATTCAATATAGATATACAATACAAAATACAATACAGCCATATAAAATGGCAATTTCAAACAACCAAATACAAA